GCGCCCTACGGTCCCACCGAGCCCACTAGAATCTGCCCGGGTCTGCGGGCCAATATACAAGCTGGACACATGAACAGATCCTCTAGCGACGCCTCAAAACTGGATCAGGAGCAAAAAAAAAGAGAGAGCGAGCGAGCGAGAGAAGAAGAAAGAGCTCTCCAGCAGCTCCGCTGGCTAGGAGTATGGAGCCACAACCACGCGCCGGCCCACAACCCCACAGCTGGCCGCTCCGCAGTTGGACCGGTAATTCTACCGCCGCGCCCGGCCCCGCCCCGGGCCCGCGACCGTTCCGGGGCGTTCCTGCCCGGGCGGCGCCTCCCTCACCACACCGCCGCTGGACTCGCTTCTTACCGAACAAGGCAGCGGCCACCATACGACTCCAAAACCGCGGCTACAAGGCCGCTCAGGATCACAATGTCCAGAGCGGCCCAGTCCGCTGGCCCTTTCCCAGCAAGCTCCGGCACGTCTTGGCTCCCGCCCTGGGCCCTTACCGAGGCAGCGTAGCCTCCGCGGCCCGCTCCTCCTCCTCCTCCTCCACCTCCTCCTCCTCCTCCTCGGCCGCCGCCACCGACACAGAGCCGCGGACCCCGGAACTTCCTCCCCGCCAGCAGCTGCTTCCACAAAGGCGCCGTGCCGCGGCCTTCAGCGCTCTGCCCGCTGGGATATGGAGTACCGCGATCAGTCCCGCAGACTCCACTCCCGCGGTGCACCGCGCTGAGGGGGGGGGGGAATTGCCTTCTAGGGCGGGGCATAAGTGCACGCTGCTAACCATTGTCCAATAGGAAGGCGCGCTTTCCTGCTTCGTCCGTGGGGCCTACTAGGGGTTGTGTTTTGTCCTTTACCCTACCTCAGCTCGTTGTCTGGAGCTGTCCCGGGAATTGAGCAAGGTGTGCTGTTGGTGACTTTGCCTTCCGTAGGTGTGCTCCCTGTTTGGAACGGTACGGTCCTGACCTGCCTAGCTCGAGGCCGCCTCATTGTCAGTTCGTGTGAAAGAAATGGGAAATAGCGTCTTAGGGCCTAAGCTGTTGGAGGAAATGACTCCTGGCCATGTGCCCACACAAGGCCCTAGCCCCAGGCTCTCCCTGCCCAGGAAGCAGAGCCCTTCTACCTGAGACTCCAGGATAGGTATGAAAGAAGAATTTTGATAGAGAAGCAGTACATCTTAGAGGTTCATCCCCTTTTTCTGATGAATTTTAGGCATCCCAGCTCAAGAATACCAGACACCATCCATGCTAAAGGTTCACTAGCACAAACCATAAAGAAAAATCCACTCAACTTCCACAGAGCCATGCTAGGTCTCAGGCTATAAATCTAGTCCGGAATGACTTGTGCAAGGTCATAGAAGAGCTGGGAGGAAACTGCAAATCTGCAATTTAGCAGAAAATAAGACGACAAATACAGCTTTCGGTTTTGCAGCTCACCTCCAGAATTTTCCAGCTAATGTTCTTTGAAGAGCCACGTCCAATTCCCAGATGGATTGTCTACATTATTGAAAGGCTCTTTGGTCCCAGCCACCTGGTATCAGGTATCTTTGTCAGTAGGCCTTCAGGAAAGGTAACCTGGATTTTGGAGCCTAAATTCAACATTATGTGATCAAAGAAATCAACTGCAAGAAATGCCCACAAAGCATTCTAAAATAAAGCAGGCTTCATTGTAGAGAAAGGAGGTTTTGAGTAGAGTAGTCTTTATAGTTCTCTTCCACCAAGCAGAGTGGCACAGGCCTATAATCCCATCTTCTCAAGAGGCTGAGGCAGGAGGATTACAAGTTCAATTCAATGCTAGCCAGAACAATTTAGCAACACCATGTAGGTCAGTGGTAGAGCCCTCCTGGGTTTAATCCCTAGTTACCACAGGGGAAAAAAAAGAAAGAAACAATAAAGTTACATTTCACTTTTAGGTATCTTGTTGAGAGGTCATTCCTTCAAGAACTTATGAAGTGTCTGCTATATGACAGTTACTATATCAGGTGCTGGGAATATAGGAATGAACAAAACTAATAAACTGTTGCCCTAGTGCAGATGTGTATGACAATAGTTATTGGAGACAAACTAAAAACTAAACAAGCTACATTATTCAATCTCTCTGGTGGTAGTAAAATCTATGGAGAAAATTAAAGGGAAGGAAATTTGTAACTTTAAAAATAGAAGTGTCAGGTTTGGTACCATTGAGATCTTGGAATGAAGAAAGCCAGGTGTGCTGGACTGAACTTGAAGGTTTTTTGTTTGTTTTGTTTTGTTTGTGGTAGTGGAATATGGGGATTGAACTCAGGGTCTCGGCCTTGAACTTGTGATGCTTTTGCCTCAGATTCCTGAGTTGCTGGGATTACAGGTGTGTACCAGCTTATTTTTTATTTTTATTTTGAGACAGGATCTTGCTAAGTTGCGCAGGCTGGCCTTGAACTTGTGATCTTCCTGCCTCAGTCTCTGAATAACTGAGATTAAAGTTATGTACTAACATGCATGGCTTCTTTTTTTCTTTGTTTTTTCTTTATTTAGTTAAATTTTTGTTTTTTGTTTTTATTGTTATTATTCTTGTTTTGCAATGCTAGGGATTGAACATAATACCTTGCAAATGTTAGGCAAGCATATGTTAGGCAAGAAGACTACTACTATTCTTCTGAATAGTCAGTCAGAAGCACATGGGATATATACTTAACTAAGTAGATATACTTCAGAATACAGTACTACTATTCAGAAGAAATTCTGAGGTCCTACAGTTAGGGAATCTGGTTAGGTAGAAAACTTTGAATTATTATTTTTTTATTGGGGGGTGGTACCAGGATTTAACTTAGGGGCACTTGGCCACTGAGCCACATCCCCAGCCCTATTTTGTGTTTTATTTAGAGATGGGGTCTCACAGAGTTGCTTAGCACCTTGCTTTTGCTGAGGTTGGCTTTGAACTTGCAATCCTCCTGCCTCAGCCTCCCAAGCAGCTGAGATTACAGGCATTTGCCACCATGACCATCTGAATTTGTTTTCTATAGGGTTCAATTTCCTAGGATACAATTTCTGCTTAATGTTTTAGCCAGGATATCTCTGTACCAGAGACTATAAGATCTTCTTGGCTTAAATTCTTTTTTTTTAATCCTTTTTTTTTTAAGTTGTCAGTGGACGTTTATTTTACTTATTTATATGTGGTGCTAAAGATCAAATTCAGTGACTCACATATGCTACACAAGTGCTCTACCACCAAGCTATAACCCCAGCCCTTGGCTTATATTCTTGTGCTGGGGTTGTAGCTCAGTAGCAGAGTGCTTGCCTAGCATGTATGAGGCACTGGGTTCCGTTTCTCAGCACTGAATATAAATAAATAAAATAGCCAGGAGTGGTGGTGCATGCCTGTAATCTCAGCTCCTGGGGAGGCTGAGGCAGGAGGATCACAAGTTCAAAGTTAGCCTCAGCAATTTAGTGAGGCCTTAAGAAACTCAGTGAGGGAGCTGGGGATATAGCTAAGTTGGTAGAGTACTTGACTCACATGCACAGGGCCCTGGGTTCAATCCCCAGTACCACCAAAAAAGAAAGAAAGAAAGAAACTCAGTGAGACCCTGTCTCTAAATAAAACACTAAAAAGGGCTGGGGCTGTAGCTCAGCACCAGAGCACTTGCCTAGCATGTGTGAGGTACTGTGTTCAATCCACAGCACCACATAAAAATAAAATAAAGATATTCTATCTACAACTTAAAAAAAGGGGGGGGGATGGGTATGTGGATCAGTGGTTAAGTGCCTCTGGGTTTGATCCCTGGTACCAAAAATAAACAAATAAATAAATAAAAGTCCATCAACAACTTAAAAAAAAAAAAAAAACTGTATAAGAGGGGAACCTGGAGTCCTGAGCTAGTGAGTAGAAAAAATATTGTGCGACCTGTGAAGACTCTTCTATCTCCATTCCAAGGAAAAGAACATTTTCTCACCTGAGAAGCTTCCTTTCAAGCTATGTTTGAGGTTCTGAACGCCCCATAGGAAGATATCTCCTGTAAAAGGCCATAGCTTTGTTATAATGGCAGTCACAAGCCAGTAGGCTCCAAGTGGTAGCCATCTGAGACCATGAGAAAAAGACTAAGGTAGAGCTCTCTCCCGTAGGACCAAGGGGGACACAGGAAGACCTACTGCTTGCTTTGGAGGAAAAAAAAAAAAAAAAGAGGAACACAGGATATTGCTTTGGGTGTTTGTTGGAGTAGCTGGTAGAGTCACAGGAGTGGTTTCAGAATTTTTTCCCCTTCATCCCAGAATTGTTGGGAGAACAAACCACGAAGCTACAAAGTGAGTTAATTGCTTCAAAAGAAAATATGAGATATTTTGTTGTCAACTTAATGTGACTTCTTTAAACTGTTCTCCAAAAATAAGAGCCATTTGGAACAGCTTGGGTTTTCCTGTTGTTTTCATTGTTTTGCCTCTAGGAAATTATAAACAGTGGTTCTTTATCCTTGCAAATAACCCAGGGAGCCCTTAAAATAATACTGAAGCCTGGTTCCCCATACCCATCCAATTTAATCAAAATCTCTAGGAGTAGTGTTGAAATATTAGTGTTTTTTAAAAGCTCCCCAGGTCATTCAGTGTGCACAGTTAAGAACTACCTGTTCTAGAGTCTCATAAATTAAAAACGATTAGTGCGGCTTTTGCGCATGCTCACATCCTTTACAGCTACTGTAAACTCACTAATATTTATCCAGCACCCCAAACTTGCAGTGTCCTTCCACAATATGTCGGGGAAACAACGTCAACGTTACTTCCTCGCTCTTGAATGAAACCTGTCATTAGTTTGGGCCAAGGGTCGAAAGAGTACAGATCTGCAGCAGTCGCAGGGCTTTTGACCTCGGGGACGGCAGATGGGGAGAGGGTGCTCCCGGGCCTCCGAGACGCTGGAGAAGGAGGCGCCGGGTGAGACAAACCCGGATCTGGGTCAGGTCCCGCCCCCGACTCTTTTGGGCTCTGGAGAGCCGAACCGCTCGGGCCGTGCCGCCTACAGACTACATTTCCCACAATGCACCAGGGGGGCGGGCTTGGTCGGGCCAAGCGACTGGAACCGGGCCTCCTCGGCGAGAGGCCAGCGAAGGCTGCCTTCCTGCGCCAGAGGCCGGGTGAGGGGCGGCAAGGGGAAATCGGTGCCGAACTGTTGCCATGTGTGTGTCCGCAAGGGGACGTGGCCCCGCGAAACTGCGCCCCCGGGCCTGGCCCGGCCGGACACCTACACCCCTCCGGGGGTCCGGCAGAGGGCAGTGACTGGCACCCTCTGTGCGTCCTGGTTCCCCCCCCCCCCCAAACAGGTGAGTCCGACTGCCAACCCACGTGGCCTGGGGTCGCTGAGAAGCAGGAGAGCTGTCATCTTTGGAGGGAGGGACTTGAAGACTAGGGTCCCAGCAACCCTGAGCACCGTTTGTGTTAGGAAAGTGGGTCTTCCTGGGGTCCCTATGCCGGCTGGCCCATAGCTGGGGAATACAAAAAAAAGAGGCCTGGAACCCATCCTTTGGCCAAGAGGGTGAAATAGTACTCACATCTACCAATGCACGTATATTTGACCCTCAAAGTCCTCTCAAAAAGCAACGCAAGTGTTCTGGAGCTCCTGGAAGGGTCTTAGGGCTCAGGACTTTGTTCTCAAGGGCGCCCTGGCTAGGTAACTGGGCTGCCACTTGTACTGAAGCACCCTTTCTAGGCTCCAGTTCGCTTGAGAAGTGTGAGCAGCCTTTGTCAAGGAGGGGAGTGGCCGCCAGAAGTGACAAGTTCCAGGCTAGTCTTTAAGCATAGAGTAAGCATCTTGCTGAAGCAGCCACAGAACAGTCTTAGTAGGACCCTGTCTCTACACGTCCTTCATCCTGGCAACTCCCTCCCAGATAAAACCACTCTCCAAAGGGTGAAGGTGGGGTGAAACAAGCACTATCCAAGTAGGAAAAGGGAGCAAGGTGATTAGGAACCAGTAGGGAAGAGCTCTTGCAAGGCCCACCCCAGGCACAGTAGAAGGGCTGATTGCACCAACCTGTTTGGTTACTTTGCTTACAAGCCCTGCAAGGGACTTCTAGGAAAAGTAGCAAGTCCTGGGGATATCTAGAGGGGCTGCCTGGTAAAGACATCTGGGCTGGTTCTGAAAGATCTTGCCTAACTGATTCAGGCTGAACCTCCCAGCAGCTTCCTTGCACAGATTATGGGTCTTTTGGGGGTTGGGGTGGGTTTTGTGTGATTCACTGAGCTTTTCTGCCTGAATTTCCAAGATAAGTATTCAAAAAGCTATTTGCTCCATCAGGCTTTCTGGTGGAACCCCAGATTGATCTTGGAGAAACTGAGATGCCACATGATCTCACATGGCAGGGGGACTGTGGTGAAAGAGGTACTCACTAGTGGGTGTGGTCGCACACCTCTATAATTGCAGCAACTCTGGCCACTGAGGCAGGAGGATCACAAGTTCAAGCCATCCACAGCAATTTAGCAAGGCCCTAAGCAACTTAGTGAGACCCTGTCTCAAAATAAAAAATAAAAAGGGGCTGGGGGTGCTGGGGTTTAGCTTCAGTGGTAGAGTGCTTGCTTAGCACATGTGAGGCACTGGATTCAAGCCTTAGCACCACATAAAAAAATAAACAAAATAAAGTTAAAAAAAAAAAAAAAGGATTCTTGGGGCTGGGGTTGTGGCTCAGGAGTAGAGCACTTGGCCTAGCCTGTGTGAGGCACTGGGTTTGATCCTCAGCACCACATAAAAATAAGTAAATAAAATAAAGTTATTGTGTCCAACTACAACTAAAAAATAAATATTAAAAAAAGATATTTGGGGGCTGGGGCTGTAGCTCAGTGGCAGAACACTTGCCTGGCATGCATAAGGCACTGGGTTTGATCCTCAGCACCACATAAAAATAAACAAATAAAATAAAGGCATTCTGGCCATCTACAACTACAAAAAATTAAAAAAAAAAAAAAAGACGAAGGAAGTCTTTGTTATTAAAAAAGTTCTTAAAAAAAACATTGTTTGAAAAAAGGGGGGTGTTGGGGATCCCAACTCAATGGTTAAATGCCCCTGGGTTCTATCCCTGGTACCAAAAATAAAAATAAAAAAGAAGCACCTATTACCCCTAGACAGTTGACTCTCTTCTCTTCCCCATGCAGGTACCATGCTAGGATGCTGGGTACAGTCAGACATACTGGGTTTAGTCAGCTGAAGCCTACAAGGGATCAGTGGGGAATGGGTTCTCAGGATAGGATTAAACTGCTGTAGACCTTGTTCGGATCTTTGAACCAGAAGTTCAAGGCCACAGTGCAGGGCCAGTTAAACATGGCAGAGACTTCTAGGAGCAGCAAAGAGCTAGTCATCTGTTTTTCAACTCTAACACTTGTAAATAGCCTGATCTGACAGGTGGGTCATTTCAGGCTAGAGCCCACCTGACTTCATAAGATCAGATGCATGCTTCCCCAGGCCATTCATCCAGGGCCCCTGTCTGGCTGAGCAAACTCATAAAGGACTGATTTACATGTCAGAGACCACTGGATCTGTGTGTGAGTACTGTTATACATGGTCTGAATGCAAAGTAAAAATAATCATGATGTACTAAATGACAGCAGTACGCATATAAATGCCTACTCTATACTAATGTAATTATTATTTTTTTGAGGTTTTATTTAAATTTATTAATTTTGAGAGAGTTTACTTCTTAATATTGAGACAACCAGAGATATGAAAAATTTGTGCTCTACATGTGTAATATGAATTCCTCTGTCATATATAAATTTAAAAATTATTTAAAAAATATTGAGAATCCTGCAATGGAAAAATGAGAATTCATACCCTATTAGATTCAAATGTATGCTATGTCAAAATAATTGTATACTAAGGTAATTAGATTACATATATTATCTTCTATGACCCAATGAATCAGTAGTATTATTATCACCATTTTTAATTTAATTTTTTTTTTTTTTTTTTACTGAGGACGGAATGAAGAGGTGCTCTACTGCTTGCTGAGTTACATCCTCAGTCCTTTTTATTTATATTTTTATTTAGAAATAGAGTTTCAAAAAATCACTCAGACTGATCTCAAACTTGCAATCCTCCTGCCACAGACTCCCAATTACCTGGGATTACAGATGTATGCCAGAATTATCTCCATTTTTTTTCTTTAAATCTCCATTTTATAGATGAGAAAACAGAACTGTAAATCCAAGTTCCTCTAATTGCAGAGCCATTGTTCCTGAATATTTGACTATCACCAAAGAAAAGTCTTCTACAGACTGAGTTGGTTTATTTGTTTGATTGTTTTTTGCCTCATTGTAGCAAGTGCTGGATCTAGGTGTTCACAGATCTTGCACTGCCTCCCTTTCAAAGATGTTTATCTAGCAAATGTTGATTAAGCTCCTCCTGCATGTGGCTCTAATCACCTGAAATTTGTAGCAAGCCACAGGGGGACCTTCAGTCCTGAGAAATAAACCAGGGTGAGCAGGGATATTGCAGAAAGGCCTCTCTGATAATGTAATACTGAGCAGCAATCTGAAGGAAGTGAGGAACAGTGAATAATGTACTAGCCCAGACAGGGAAATATGCACAGGGAGGAAGTTCAGCAAAGGCAAAGTCTGAAATAAAGGAATGCTCAGGATATTTAGGAAAAGCCACTATGGCTGGACTAAGGCAGAAATAGTTGGGAGAAAGGGTAGGAGATAAGGTCAAAGAAGTAAAGGAGAAGCTGGGTACAGTCCACACACCTGTAATCACAGCAATTCAGAAGGCTGAGCAGGAAGGATTGCATGTTTGAGGCCAGCCTTGGTAATTTAAAGAGTTCCTGTCTCAAAAATAAATAAATGAAAAGGGCTGGTTTAATTCCCAGTACCAAATAATAATATTTTTTAGTTGTAGTTGGACACAATACCTTTATTTATTTTTATGTGGTGCTGAGGATCGAATCCAGGGCCTCACATGTGCTAGGTGAGCGCTCTATCACTGAGCCACAACCCCAACCCACTAAAAAAATTTAAAAGTACAGAAGTGAGGGCATATGGGATGAGGCCTTTTACACCCCTATGAGGAAATTGGTTTGCTTTGTTTTTTTGATTCCAGGGATTGAACTGGGGTGCTTAAGAACTGAGCCACATCCCCAGCCCCCCTTTTTTTTAATATTTATTTTTTAGGTGTAGTTGGACACAATGCCTTTATTTTATTTACTTATTTTTACGGGGTGCTGAGGATCAAACTCAGGGCCTCGCACATGCTAGGAGAGCACTCTTAACACTGAGCCACAGCCACAGCCCCATCAGCCTTTTTATTTTTTTATTTTGAGACATGGTCTCATTAAGTCGCTTAGGACCTCACTAAATTGCCGAGGCTGTCCTCAAATTTGTGATCCTCCTGCCTCAGCCTCCAGAGCCACTGTGTTTACAGGTATGCACACCATGCCTGGGAGGAAATTGACTTTCTTGCTGAGTGAGTGTGAGCAGTCTCACATTACAAATAGAATTGATTAAAAAAAAATCATTAAGTGGCTGGGCATGGTGGCACATGCCTATAATCTTACTGACTTGGGAGATTGGAGGATCAAAAATTTAAAGCCAGGGCTGGGGCTGTAGCTCAGTGGTGGAGTGCTTGCCTGTCATGCTTGAGGCACTGGGTTTGATCCTTAGCACCACATAAAAATACAAACAATAAAATGAAGGCATTCTGTCCATCTACAACTATAAAAATATATTTTTTTAAAAAATTCAAGGCCAGGGACTGGGGATATAGCTCCAAAGAACAGAATTGTAAGATGCCTGTAGCCTGTATCATTGCTTGGAAGGGAGCTACTCTGAATTTCTATCAGACCCAGATAGATTTTGTATAAAGAAAAAAATTAAGCTTTTATTTGAGCATAGCGGCACACACCTTTAATCTCAGCAACTCCAGAAGTTGAGGCAGGAGGATGGTAAGTTTGAGGTCAGCCTGAGCAACTTAGTGAGATCCTAACTCAAAATTAGAAATAAAAAGGGCTGGGAGAGCTGGGGTTATAGCTTAGTGGTATAGTGCTTGTCTAGCACATGTGAGGCCCTGGGTTCCATCCTCAGCACTACATAAAGATAAATAAATAAAATAAAGGTAGTGTGTCCATCTACAATTTACAAAATATATTTTAAAAAGGGGGGTTGGGAATGTAGCTCAGTGGTAGAACACCCCATGTTCAATCCACAATACTGAAGGGGGAAAATAAAAAGTATGGTTTCTACTCAATTAATGTTATTTTCCTACCATCATAAAATTGAAGACCATCTGTACAGCTCAATGAATTATCACAAAGAAAATATATCTAAGGAAGGGCGTTTTGAAGATAAAAAAAGCTGGAAGATCCAAGACAGGGAGAGGTGGGGTGAGGGAGAGAACGAGCGTGAATGTTAAAAAGCTATGTCTATCTTTCTTTTAAGCAAGAAGGACTGGAATTAGCCCAGGGGAGTGTGAACAACATATCTTTAAAAGAAAAAGAAAGGCAGAGTTGGGGCTAGGGTTGTAGCTCAATGGTAGAGCGCTTGCCTAGCATGTTTGAGGCACTGGGTTTGATCCTTAGCACCAAATATAAATAAATAAAAATAAAAGTCCCTCAAGAACAAATGAAAGACAGAAAGGCAGAGTCTGGCAGATGAGACAAGATGATGGTGGTAGTCTACAGAAGTTTTTTCCTGGTGACAAGTCTTCTCAGTGAAGTGGAAGATAAGGTCATCTGCTGATAAAGCTGATTCCCCCTATATCTACTAGAGGTGTCCTCTACCTGGCCTTGAAGCTGTGGTAAGACCAGAAGATCATGTTAAATCTGTCCTGGCCATCAAATTGGCATAGAGAATTCTCACATCTCTAGTTTTCTTTTATATATATATATATTTTAGTTGTCAATGGACCTTTATTTTATTTATTTATATGTGGTGCTGAGAATCGAACTCGGTGCCTCACACATGCTAGGTAAGTGGTTTACCACTGAGCCACAACCCCAGCCCCTGTAGTTGTTTTTGTTTACTTATTTTTTGTATGTGGTGCTGGGGATTGAACCCAGGGCCTTGTATATGCTAGGCAAGTGCTCTGCCTCTGAGCTACAACCCCACACCCTGCTACTGGTAAGGGAATTCCTTTTGCCAAATTCAAGAAGTACAAAATAGGGCTGGGGATGTGGCTCAAGCGGTAGCGCGCTCGCCTGGCATGCATGCGGCCCGGGTTCGATCCTCAGCACCACATACAAACAAAGATGTTGTGTCCGCCGAAAACTAAAAAATAAATATTAAAATTCTCAAAAAAAAAAAAGAAGTACAAAATAATATTCAGAGAAAAGAAGAGTTCCAACCTGAAGCAAAGCCTGTTAGCTGTGTCTTACTTCTTTTTCTGCAAGCACTAAAATATACAAAAAGGGGGCTAGGGTTGTGGCTCAGTGATAAAGTGCCTGCCAATACATGTAGGCACTGGGTTCTATCCTCAGCACTACATAAAAATAGATAAATAAAATAAAGCTATTGCATCCATATACAATTTTTAAAATATTTAAATAAATAAAATATGCAAAAAGAACTCTTTGTTAACTTAATTTTTTTTTTTTTAGTTGTAGTTGGACAAATACTTTATTTATTTTTATGTGGTGCTGAGGATCGAACTCAGGGCTTTGCACTTGTTAGGCAAGCGCTCTACTGCTGAGCCACAACCCCAGACCGTCAACTGAAATTTTTTTTTTTTTTTTGGTACTGGGGATTGAACCCAGATGCACCCAATCACTGAGCTACATTCCCAGCCCTTTTTTGTATATTATTTAGAGACAGGGTCTTACTTAGTTGCTTAGGGCCTCACTAAGTTGCTGAGGCTGGCTTTGAACTCGCAATTCTCCTGCCTCAGCCTCCCCAGCCCTGTTTTGTATTTTATTTAGGGACAGACTCTCACTGAGTTGCTTAGCACATTGCTTTTGCTGAGGCTGGCTTTGAACTCGCGATCTTCCTGTCTCAGCCCCGCTAATCTGCTGGGATTACAGGTGTGGGCCACTGCTCCCAGCTTCAATTTTGTGTTTAATGGAGAAATATATGTTCATGGCAGAACATGGAGGCAAAAATATGAAGGTATAGAATTGTTTTAGTTCCCATATGCAGGGCTTCTTTCTTGTAGTAACATTAAACAAGCTGCTTAAACTCTCAGCTTCAGTTCTTTCATCTATGGAGCTAGCTTGATAAAAGCACTTCCCTCACAGAGGAGTGCTCAGGATTACATAACTCAATCCATATAAACTTCTTAGCACACTGCCTTGACACCCAGTAAGTTTTAGCCCCTGTTTTCAGTCTGTTAAAATGTTTACATTTAGGGCTGGGGATGCACCTCAGTGATAGGGCCCTTGGTTTGATCCTCAACACTGAAAAAAAAGAAAGAAAAGAAATTGTATTTAATGTGTATTTTTTTTTGGGGGGGGGCGGTGGGTACCAGGGATTGAACTCAAGGGCACTCAGCCATTGAGCCATATCCCCAGCTCTATTTTGTATTTTATTTGGAGACAGGGTCTCGCTGAGTTGCTTAGTTGCTGGAACAGTCAGCCTCTGGCTCTTCCACTCTTTCTTTCCCACCATTCATTATTTGTTCACTCATTCATTGGGTATTCATCCTTCTGCCTCGCTATTGCTGAGGCTGGCTTTGAACTCGTGATCCTCCTGCCTCAGCCTCCTGAGTTGCTGGGATTACTGGTGTGCACCACCTCATGCAGCTGCATCAGCCTTCTGAGCCACTGGGATTACAGGCCAGCATCACCACATCAGCTTTATTTTCTGTTTTTAGAGAGGATCTTGCTAAATTGCCTAGGCTGACCTCATACTTATAATCCTCCTGTCTCAGCCTCCTGGGTAGATGAAATTACAGGAGTGTGCCACCACACCTGGCCTTTTCCAAGTTTTCTACAATAAATTTGTCTTCCTTTTATAATCAGAAAAGAAATGTGATACTTAATTTTTAGAAGAAAATATTTTTCAGGGATTTAGGGTCCTGGTAAGGGACACTTTTTCACACTGTTAATTACATCAGTGACTCTACAAATTGCACATTCTCCCTATCCTCCTTTATTTTGTTTATCCCACAGAAAGCCCAAAGGATGGCTGCTGATATGCAGAGGAAGAAAAGTAGTGAATGCCCTGATGGCACATTGGCTCCTTCTGATGGACAGAGTGTGGAGAGAGCAGAGAGTCCCACACCAGGACTGGCCCAGGGAATGGAACCAGGTATGGGCAGAGTGAGTAGCCCCCATCACCTGACAGCTGGAACAGTCAGCTTCTGGCTCTTCCACTCTTTCTTTCCCACCATTCATTATTTGTTCATTCATTCATTGGGTATTCATCCTAGTGATATTGCAGGGAGCCAGACTAAGTTTACATCTGGTCTTCCTCTCCATTTCATGTTGTGCTGTTCATCCTGTGCTCTTGGGCTGCTAGTCTGGCTATCCTTCTGTTTTTGTCTACAGGATCTTGGAACCTTTTCCCTTCCTTAGCTCTCAGGTTAAATGTCTCCTCCTCACAAATTAGGCCTGCCCTGTACAGGACACTAGTCATTTTGTAATTTTCGGCATGTGTTTACCCTCTCTCTCCAACAAGATTGTGAGCTCTTTGAGCACAGGGCATTCATATTACCAATGCCTTGTATGGTGCTGAATTTATAACTACTTTGGCAAAAATATCAGTAAAGGGGGCTGGAGATATAGCTCAGTTGGTAGAATGCTTGCCGTGCATGCACAAGGCTCTGGGTTCAATTCCCAGAACCACCAAAAAAAAAAAGAAAGAAAGAAAGAAAAGAAAATCAGTAAAGGAACCAGGCACAGTGGCACCACACCTATAGTCCCAGCTACTTGGGAGGCTAAGGCAGGAGGATCACAAATTTGAGCCCAGACTGGGCAACATAGTAAGATAGTGTCTCTTTAAGAAAAATAAGGGGACTAAAAGTGTAGCTTTGTGGTAGAACACTTGGCCTAGCATGCCTAAGGCCCTGGGTTCCATCCCCAGTGCTGAAAAACAAATTAATAAAGGAAGACTGATGTGGTCTCTGTCATGGGGAAACCATAGGCTATGGAGTCAGTCAGGGACTGTGACCTGAATGGGACAGGAGGGGAAATAGATTCACTGAGTATGGGAGGTGCTCTAGGCATAGGGCAGGGTACTGGGCATATAACAGTGAACAAACAGGTTCCAACCTTACCACTGTAGTTGGATAGGGAAATAATTGGCAAGTGTCCCAAAGGAAATCAGAGACTCATATGATAGAGTGCTAAGGTTGTAGGTAAGATGAAGATATAACTGCAGAGCTCCTGAGGTAGGTTGGGGCATGTTGAGGTGTCCAAAGAGCAAATGGACAAAGGTCAGCATCAGTGTCTCTTAGGGAGGGGGCCTAATATGGGAATGAAAGAGGTAGGTAAATACCAGTCACCACTGCTGCCATGAGGATTTAGGTCTTATTGCCAGTGTGATGAGAGGAAAACAATGGGCTCTAAATTGCAGAGAAGCACGAGCATGGCAGGAAGGAACAGTGGCATGGCCCCATCAGGACAGAAAGTCATGTTAGAGTAACCATGTTAGAGAGTGTCTGCCAGCAGTTCCCTTTCTAAGCACCAGTGCTTTTGGCCTACAGGTGCCGGGCAGGAGGGTGCCATGTTTGTCCATGCCCGTTCCTATGAGGACCTGACTGAATCAGAGGATGGGGAAGCTTCTGGGGACAGTCCTAAGGAGGGTGCTGGGGGTCCTCCATCACTGCCTACAGATATGCGCCAGATCAGCCAGGACTTTAGTGAGCTAAGCACCCAGCTGACAGGTGTGGCTCGAGACCTACAAGAGGAGATGCTGCCAGGAAGCTCTGAGGACTGGCTGGAACCCCCAGGGGCAACTGGGAGACCAGACACGGAGCCCTCAAGGGAGGGCACAACAGAGGGGGATGAAGAAGATGCTACGGAGGCATGGCGCCTGCACCAGAAGCATGTCTTTGTCCTGAGTGAGGCAGGGAAACCCGTGTACTCTCGCTATGGCTCTGAGGAGGCGCTTTCCAGCACAATGGGTGTCATGGTGGCACTAGTATCCTTTCTGGAGGCAGACAAGAATGCCATCCGCTCCATCCACGCAGGTGAGCCACTTGAAGCCCCGGGGTGGTGGGGAAGGCTGCACTGGTCAGGTTTAATTCATAGCAGGTTTTGGACCCCCACAGACTAGAGGGTTGGGATGTGCTGTGTGCTGAGGATCAAGTCCCTCCATTCACCTCTCTGAACCTTAAGGTCCTCACCTGAACATATGTTAACAACATGGCCAGTCTCATGGGGCTGCGGTGAGGGCTAATGATGGCTTTGGCATAGCTTTATTATAGAAAAAAGGTGAAAATTGGCTAGAAGGGCAGGGGTGATTAAGGAAAAAAAAAAAAAAAGCTGGGCATGGTGGTGCACACCTATAATCTCAGAGACTTGGGAAGCAGAGGCCAGAGAATCACAAGTTCAAAGCCAACCTCAGCAAATTAGCAAGGCCCTAAGCTTAAAAAGGGCTGGGGATGTGTCTCAGTGTAAGTGCCTCTGGGTTCAATCCCTAGTACAAAAAAAAAAAAAAATGATGCCCTTAGTCCCACCCAGCTGAGTTAGCATTTCCCTTAAGAATGTATGTTTTCTGTTTCTGAAGACCTTGTGTTTCTGAGGGAATGAATCTGTGAAGCAAGAGGCAGAGAAAGAGAGCAAGGGATTTGGTTTGGTGGAACTCACCAAATTGCCGGTATTTGGGATTACAGTACAACGGCAAATTCTGAGCCCATCCTTGGTAACTTAGTGAAACCCTGTCTCAATGAATGAATGAATGGATGAATTCATTCTGGGTTCAATCCCTAGTATGGAAAAAAAAAAAAAAAGTGTGGTGGTTTCATCCTGAAGCTGAATACAGAGAGCTCTGAGAGAAAAAGATGTGGAAATTGAAAGGCAGCACAGATCTGGGTAAGGCCTATCAGGATGGCTTCTGGGAAAGGACCTGAGGCTGACACTGTGTCCCCATCTTCAGATGGCTACAAGGTGGTATTTGTGCGCCGGAGCCCACTGGTGCTGGTGGCAGTGGCACGAACGCGGCAGTCGGCACAGGAGCTGGCACAAGAGTTGCTCTACATCTATTACCAAATTCTGAGCCTTCTTACTGGGGCACAGTTGAGCCACATCTTCCAGCAGAAGCAGAACTACGACCTGCGGCGCCTGCTTTCAGGCTCCGAGCGCATCACCGACAATCTGCTACAGCTAATGGCTAGAGACCCCAGCTTCCTAATGGGGGCGGCGCGGTGCCTGCCCCTGGCCGCCACCGTTCGAGATGCGGTGAGTGCCAGCCTGCAACAGGCACGTGCTCGCAGCCTTGTCTTCTCCATCCTAGTGGCCCGCAACCAGCTGGTGGCGCTCGTGCGCCGCAAGGACCAATTCCTGCACCCCATCGACCTGCACCTGCTCTTCAATCTCATAAGTTCCTCCTCGTCCTTCCGTGAGGGTGAGGCCTGGACGCCGGTATGCCTGCCCAAATTCAATGCAGCTGGCTTCTTCCACGCACACATCTCTTACCTAGAGCCTGACACCGACCTCTGCCTGCTACTTGTCTCCACCGACCGCGAGGACTTTTTTGCTGTCTCTGACTGCCGCCGCCGCTTCCAGGAGCGCCTTCGCAAACGCGGAGCTCACCTCGCGCTGCGGGAGGCACTGCGCACACCCTACTACAGCGTTGCCCAAGTGGGCATCCCTGATTTGCGTCACTTCCTCTATAAATCAAAGAGCTCAGGACTCTTCACCAGGTGAGGGAGGACACTGCTTCAGGGACACAAGGATGTGGGGAGGAGGAGGCTGGTTGGTCCTGAGTCCTAGGATGTAGCTCTGAAGCTGACAACCCCTTTGGGAGTGGACCAGCATTCTAGAGTTGTTTTACTGTGGTACGAGGGGCCCAGACTTCTATCATGCCACCAGCATACACCTGTTTCATTACCTGTAAGACCTGAAATTGATCAATATACACAGGGAAGAAAGCTGGAACAGAGGTCTCCTAGGACCCTTGCCCTAGAGCAACTCTGCCCTAGGGGGTCATTTTGGTCCAATCCAGGATGCAGAGTCTTCTCTCACTTGTTCCTCTAGGGAAGGAACTGGGCAGATATGGCAGCTTCTCTCCTCCCTTTACCCAGAGGATTTCCTAGTACACCTTTTATCAACTGCAGACATGTCATTCTTCTTAGTCACCTAAACTCAAATTGGCCTCTCCAAAGAAAACAATACCATGACCTTGGGTGTGTGAGGGGGCAGAGCACCAGTCTCCTGGGAAGTCTTCCAGGGAGTGGGGAGATGATGACTATAACCTGTCCTAGAGAACATCTGGAGAGTAGAACATGTGGTGGAGTCTCCTGTCTAGGAATAGATTTTCTAGATTTCCAGATAAGGCAATAGAAGTCATTCCTTTGTGAACCCACTCCCTCATCTGCAGTCCTGAGATTGAGGCCCCATACACCAGTGAAGAGGAACAGGAGCGGTTGCTGGGCCTCTACCAGTACCTGCACAGTCGTGCCCACAATGCCTCCCGCCCACTCAAGACCATCTACTACACAGGCCCCAACGAGAACCTCCTAGCCTGGGTAAGGTGGCCCTCATTAGGCTGGGCTTCATGGAGGTCCTGGGTAGGGTTCATAAGGGCTATCCATCTTAGATGACCACCTTTTGCCCCCTTCTCCAGGTGACAGGCGCCTTTGAGCTCTACATGTGCTACAGCCCTCTGGGGACTAAGGCATCAGCTGTCAATGCCATCCATAAGTTGATGCGCTGGATCCGTAAAGAGGAAGACCGCCTCTTCATCCTCACACCCCTCACCTACTGATGGGAATGTGTGCAGACTCAGCCCTTCCATTCCCACTGGGTGTGGAAAGCCATGGGAGCCTCCAGGTGGGGGTGGCTTTTGCCTAGCCAGCAGGCAGGGACTATGGGTTGGTGTGTGCATTAAAGTACTTTGGGGAAGACACTTGTTGCAGCCATGTCATTGTTCTTTTTTTTTTTTTTTTTTTTTTTGCCCATCTACTATCATGGACAAACACTGGATTCTCCTCCCAAGTTCTGCACATATTTCTTCATATACAAGAGCACATGCATATTTAAGCCACTCTCCTCCTGCCCTTGCACTAGCATCAGGCTACACACAGAGTTGGACCCTTGGCTGCAGATGTTTTGGTTCACCTGAAGTCATCATATGTAAAGGCTCTCAGTCATCCTACTGTCCTACCCTTGCCCCTGCACCATCCCTCTGTACCCAGTCTGCCTCTGCACTTGTCTTCCCTCTCTAAGGTGGACCCTCCAGTTGCATGCCCTGAAGGACCACCCAACAAAGCTCTGGCTGTGACTGCTTAATAGACTGCTATAGATCAGCATGGGCTGAGCTGAGTAAAATAAAGATGGCCCAAGTGGGGTAGTCTGGGCTATGGTGTGGGTGAGAGCCCTTGGTGAGGCACAAATTTAGAGTTCAGTCTCCCTGTAGCCACTGGCCTCTTCCTATAGGCCTTTCCATGAAGGGCTATCTGCCTCAGTTCCCCTACTTCAACCAGCACATTCCTCAGAATGGCCTCCAAAATGAGCTAGAGGATTTGAGAGGAGGTCCACTTGGCCTCCAGGGCCTCTAGGAATGCATCTGCCTTAATAAGAGCTGATGTCACTAGGTGCACTGGTTCTTCCTCAGTTACCCTATTCCCTAGCCTGGCATGGCCAGAACTGCATGAAACTCCATGGACATCCCAGGAGGTTGGTAGTAAAGGCTCATTCACTCTGAGAATTTTGGGTGCAGAGCCTAGGACACTGTGCAGAAAGCCTTTATCTTTATTGTTGGGGCTCTCCCCATTCTGCTACAACTTCTCATTGGCCAGGGAAGCAAAAGGCCTAGGAATTGTTTCTGGGAGAAAATCATCCACTGAATGTGATCAAAAGCATCCTTTTGCAGCCCCTGAGAGTTTGGCCCAGATTTTACTATCTTTGAAACCAACCCATATTGGAGAATTTGTCTTTGTAGGTAGCATCAGCCAAGGATACAGTGGGACAGTTGTATTCCTCTCCCAAGAAATGGCAACATATCTTCTGTCATTGGCTCCAAACTAGATCACTTTTTTTTTTTAAATGATGATGTGGTTCCTCGAGAAAATAGTTCTGTTCTTTTATTTTTTTAAGAGAGAGAGAGAGAGAGAGAGAATTTATTTATATATATATATATATATATATATATATATATATATATATATATATATTAGTTATTGGCAGACACAACATCTTTGTATGTGGTACTGAGGATCGAACCCAGGCCGCACGCATGCCAGGCGAGCGCGCTACCATTTGAGCCACATCCCCAGCCCCCAAACTAGATCAGATTGAAATCAGCATGGCAGCAGGCCACCTACCCAGATTCCAAAGTCCATGGGGAGTAGCCCCAGGTTTGATAAGTGCTGCATATTCTACACATATGCCCAGATCTCTTTTCTCTTTTGAGCTTCTGTTCTTCCCCTTGCTCCTGATTATTACACCAACCCACTGCCTCAGGGAACACAGTGATGCCAGTCCAGATGTCCCTGATTGTTACTAGTGTTCTTATCAACAGTCAGCCTCTATGTCAGAGATGGAGGGGTCACAGTTATCTAACTGTGTACCTGGATAATAGGTACCTAGAATCATGCAGTTTACTTATTTGGGGATCAGGGTAGAATGACAGGCAAATAAAGAGGAAACCATCATGTGCAAAGGCAAGTACCTGGTTTAAAAAGACAAAACAAAACATGTTTCATGAAGCTGGAAGAGTTTATAAGACCTGGGGTTCTCAACCTCCAGATAAAAGTCTGGCAGTAGAGAGTTGAAGCTGCAGTACGATGGGGTCATACTGAGTTGGAGAGAAACCTCTGCTGCCACTAAAGTGATCTCTGGATTAGAAAAAGAAACTGGACCCAGTTTTCTGGAACAGTGTTCACAGGAGACCGAAAGCCCAAAGAGGACAAAGTGCTAGCCACTTTGTTCATGGTGACAAGATGCCAGGGTAATTGGGCAGTTACTAAACCAGTTATGGGCCAGGCATGGTGAGTCTTGGGGGAGCGCTTGTACTATTAGCAGACTTTCCTCACAAGCCTTGCCTGTCCCCTTCTGCAGAGCTAACCAAGGAAGAAGAAAGGAAAGGGTGCTTCTGTGAACCCCACTATTAAGATTGTCTGCCTTAGAAGGTCATCCACCATGTGGCCACATGGTGGCAGCAGAGAACCAATTGATGGCACTTCATTTTTACCCCCTAAAAACCTGTGGGCAGATGATTTAGGAGGGCTTGTGAAGTCTTCTCCCAATCGGTAGAAATCTCTCCCAACATCTGGAGATGGGATGGACTTCAGGTGGAGAGTATTTCGTTTCAGTTCTGTCCTGTGTTGACCATGGAATGCTGGAAGGGTGATTTTCACTGGGTGTTTATTCATTTCCGGGCCAATTTTGATCAGGAAGGGAGTGCCTTTTATGTTGCCTTGGGCATGGTATCTTCTATGCACTGGGTGTGACTGCTCTATGTTCCGTTTCCTCTCTCAGTCACCAGCTGCTCAAGAAGATCCAGCATGGAAGGAGGGGAAATCCTGCCCAGGAAATGGAGAAAGCAAGGAATACTCAAGAGTAAACTGTGCTGGAATGTGTGTAGCACAGTGTGTGGGATCCAGGAGAGGGACCTGGGTCTTGATGGCTCCTTGGGGGAGGTGTTATCTCAGCTTTTAGAGGAGAACAAAAAAAGGGTGCTCCTGAAAAGAGGAATAGCATTGCAAAGGTCAGGTTAGGAAAGAGGTACAGGCAGTGAGGTATGCACTGGGTAGGGAGTGGAGGAGGTAGAGCTCTCCAGTCCAGGCTAAATTCTTTGGCTCCTTCCTTCCCCAGCCTCCTTACCCACTCCAGTACTGAGAACCACTGATAATATCCCAGAAACACTCTGTGACAGTGATGTTAGGCCTCGACCCATTCCCTCTAGGGTCCAGGCCTATTGGGCTGAAGGGGCTATCTGGTTATAGATCCCCACCTCCAATGTTGAGGGAGGCAACTAGCCAAAAGACAGTGCTGAGGTCCAGATGAAGGAGATGGCAAAGCAGAACTAGGATCTACCCACCAATTTACAGACTGGATAGAGAACTCTAGCTAACCATCTAACCAGGACTTTATTCTTATCTCAGAGACTAAAAGGCTTACAGAGCAGATTAGAGAAGCCCTGGGAACCAAAGCCCTTCCTCCCCCCCATATCATGGGGCATTAGAGCAGAACCTTTGGGGGGAGTCTTTCCAGAGGTCAGTTTTATGGTTTGTACCCCCTACGGCTTCCACATACTGAGGCTGCAGTGGAGGGACCAGAGGTAGGGTTAAACCTTCACATAGTCTCCTCTGACTCTTGTCCAGAGAATGAGTCTCATATCTTAATTCATATGGCCCTGGGTGATCAGGGCACAACCTACTTTCCTCTGACAAGGCTCAGGGCAGGCAACTAAAAAGATTGTCCCTGCCCTTGAAGTGAGGCACTCCACAAGATCCCTGTCTCTTCCCCACACGGTAGGTCCCCCAGATGGGCTATGGGAACCAGTGTCTGAGGGTGTTGCTGTAACATAGCTCCACCAGAACAAAAGAACCAGGTTATCCTATCCCCTTTTTACTTAGACATGGTCGGTTGTTGGAGGGATGGAATGGAATGGCTCAGGCCTGCTCTTTTCTCTTCAGGCCACTCCACGCACACCCACCCACAGGCCCCTGAGAAATAGACACACAAGAGAAAGTGTAGGGCCCAGCGTTGAGAAGAGTCAGATGGGCGGAGAGCCTGGCCTTCAACAAGGCTCCGCCCGTAGCCCCGCCTACAGCCCAGCCACACCCGTTCTGCGCCCTCGGTCGACTTTGCTCCCCGCGGTAATTCCAAGCCACAGACCCCGCGGCAGGTGAGACGGCTGTTCCTTTCTTTGCCGTGTGTACACTGGCATCAGGTGCTCCGAGTGGAAGGGGTTGGGCTTCACAGAAACCCAGGGTGGAGGTTGGCCGTCCAAGAGCTTTCTGACCGTTCCTCAACGCTGATCTCAGCTCAGACCTCTGCTCCCAGCCAAGGCCTGAAACCAGGTATCCCCAAGGGGCTCCAGCTCGCCTCGATGGAGCTTCCTCAGCTACGGCCACTGTTCTCCCTGCTGCTGCTGCTATTGCTGCTGACTGCAGTGTCGATGTCCTACAGGGACTGGCAGTGCCCTCGCACACCCTACGCTGCTTCCCGAGACTTTGATGTGAAGTATGTAGTGCCCAGCTTCTTTGCCGGCAGCCAGGTACAGGCCTTGGCGACCTATGAGGGCGGCGGGGATGGGAGTGCGGTGTTTGTGGCCACACGCAATCACCTGCATGTGCTTGGGCCTAACCTGCAGTCTATTGAGAGTCTGGCCACCGGCCCTACCGGGGATCCTGGCTGTCAGACATGTGCGGCCTGTGGCCCCGGCCCCCATGGTCCACCAGATGACACAGACACACTGGTGCTGGTACTGGAGCCGGTGTTGCCGGCACTGGTCAGCTGTGGCTCAAGCCTGCAGGGCCGCTGCTTTCTGCATGAGCTGGAGATCAGCGGGACAACCCTGCACCTGGCGGCGCCTATCTGCCTTTTCTCAGCCCATCACAACCGGCCTGAGGATTGTCCAGACTGTGTGGCCAGCCCACTGGGCACCCGTGTGACAGTGGTTGAGCAGGGCCAGGCCTCCTACTTCTATGTGGCATCCTCACTGGATGCAAAGGTGGCTACCAGCTTTAGCCCTGGCTCAGTGTCCATCCGGCGCCTCAAGGCAGATGCCTCAGGATTCGAACCAGGCTTTTCCTCATTGTCAGTACTGCCAAAGTATTTGGACTCCTACCATATAGAATATGTTCATAGCTTCCATGCAGGAGCCTTTGTTTACCTGCTGACTGTTCAGCCTTCCAGTGTGATAGACTCTCCTGGTGCCCTGCAAACCCGCCTGGCACG